AGGCCATCAGGTGGGTTAAACGTATTTTCGAAGTCGCATGCTTTGATGTCGCGTACTCACCCTTGATTGGCAGTTTCCTGAAATCCAAGATTCCCCGTGAACGTAAAGAGGCGGTGCCCTTGTCTCTTTATGTCGTCACACAGTTTGAGCGACGCTTGCTGATGCAAGAAGCTACGGATGCCGAGGTCCTCATCCTTGGGGGGTTTTTAATCTTGATTTGGGGTTCCATTAGGTTTATGGACGGACAAAGAGTTCACTGGCGATCCCTGTCCTATGACGGCTCTACACTGAGGGGCTCGTGTTATCAAACAAAAACAACATCCCAAGGACAACCATTTGGGGTCATTTGCCAAGGACTGCTTAGTCATGGATCCTTCACATGGGTGCATAGATTTCTTCGGACTTTGGACAAGGTGGCGTGCATGCATTGCAGCCTTTACCCGGGCCATCCCTTGCCTTCGAGTCTCCTTTTATCGATTGGAGCTACAGGGGTCCCTGTTTACCCTTTGCAAGCCATGGGATACGCGGCTGCACTTAGGCACCTTCGGTATGCAATTTCACTCCCGTGGAAAAAACATAAGATCCCCGTCCCTCACGAAGTCCAACTTAATTACACAGTGCACTCCCTGAAAACCACCCTCCTTTCCTGGATGGGTCAACGTCCTGAAGTTCAGCCAATCGAAAAGCAATGCCAGGGGCATCATAGGCTTAGCTCATCCCAGCTTTATCGCGTGAAGACATTATTCCGGCGCTGCGAGGTCAGCAGAAGCTGAGATTCGCCATAATCGGCGGAGCCAGGTTCCTTACCCCGCTCCACAGAGGCTCTCAGCATCCGTTGGAGGAGCCACCAGTGCAGATTGAGTCGTTCAGCAAGGCAGCAGAAACCACTTCTTTCGAGCACTTTCCCCAGTTCGTTATGAAGGAAGGGTTGCATCTTCCTGAGTTCGAGAAAACGTCGGAGTTACCTAAGCCGGTTGACCCAGCACCCTTGTGGGATGTGCAATCATCCGATGAAGAATCATTGGACAGCAGCGGCGACGAGGCACCCAAGCTCCCCGACTTAGGGGATCCTGAAGAATTGGTGCTTGCATCGTGCACAGGCGTGCACCATGCTATGGTTCCTTCCTCAGGAGCCTCTGCGACCACCTATCGTGGTAAGGGCCTGCGACCTGCTTGTGGCGTTCGCTTGTATGCAGACAATATTAACTGGCGCGAGCAGTATTCTCCCGAGATCACATTGTGCAAAAGACGTGCATGCTGCATAATCCTCGGTCGTTGTGGGATCTCGGACTCGTGAGCAATCAAAGCAAAAAAGTGGTCAGGCTCACATTGCAAGGGTCATTCATGCAGTCTCAGCGTCATGTGCATGCACTCTGTCAGTTCACTTGTTCAGCCAGGCACCAGAGAAGTTCCTTTTCTTTTGGTCTTAGCAGCGGCTCAAATGATTGGGTTTTCTGTGGATCCTTCAGAAATTCCCAACCTTTCAGGCGGTTCTTTTTGGTAGCTTCTATAATCTACTTGCTGCAGGGTCGCTAGGGTCCACAATAGCCTTTTGCTATGGAACTGGCTGAGCTCTTGAAGTCCGAAGGCCTCTCTGACGAGCTTGCCGATCTGGCAGTGGCAAGTGGGTGGAAGTCATCCACTTTCAAGCATGCTGTCAGCAAATTGGCGGATTTAGATTCTGTGTTGGGCGAAATCTTTCCGGAGAAAGCTCTGACAGTTCTTCAGAAGGCCACTATTCGCTCGGTTTGGAGTAATCTGCAGGAGTCAGAACCCTCGGGTTCTACAGCCTCTGCGTCGCCTCCTGTGCCAGAGTCTCGGGAAGGATCATGGGTGGAATCTTTTGCCCCAAAGATATCAGCATCTTCAATTTCTGAAATGAAACGGAAGTATCTGGTAAACTACCCGTCGGAGATCATCAACTACTCCACTCAGCCGTCAACCAGATTGCTGAGCTTAGCATCGCACCAGCAGAACAAGAAGGATTGGCGATGGATCCCCTGGAAATATCGAATGACGGAAGAGCGAGCTTCTGAGATAATGATGTCCCGGCCCAACAAGCAACCTCGGCTTGAGGCTATCGGGCTCTCGGGGATGTTATTGGACGAACCTCCGGCTCTGGAAATCCAAGATCATTCCATGGGTGTGAATGCTATTCAGAAGCTTATGAATGTGCATGACGTGGCATTGGCAATGGTGGGCACCGCCCATCTCGCCAGGCTGAAAGGATATACAACAAAATTCATTTCTCTTCTGACTCAGAAATTCGATGCTTCATCAGGACTTCGGCCACCATCAGTCTTAGAAGCACAACAGGCAGATTGCCGCTTGTGGCAGGGCATGATCACCCTGGTCACCGACAAAGGATGGACGATGGATGATGTCCTCTACGAGTTCACAGAGGTGCGGGGCGAGATGGCCAGCCTGCTTCAAGCTCGAGCGCGTCCTCCTCCCGTCCCCAAAGGCTGGGAAGGCAAGGGCAAAGCTGTCAAGGGCTTGGGTAAGATGCTCGTGGAGTCCTATGCCAAAGGCTACGCATCGCAGGCGTCTGTCAAAGGCAAAGGGAAGGACAAAGGCAAGAACAAGGAGGCTAAAGGCGGCTCCAATATCAATTTTGTGAAGTCGATCATGGTGGGGTCTGAGTCCAAGCCATTGTGCGTGAATTGGCAATTGAGCCGTTGCAATCGTGGAAACGCGTGCCCATTCGTGCACGCTTGTGCCTTCCCGAAATCCAATGGGCAAGCTTGTGGAAGCAAGGCGCATACGGCGCTGCAGCACGAGAGTACTCCCCACTGACTTAGCCCCAATCCCGTAGGCATGCCAGGGGTGATTTCTTCGGACCCTCTCCCCTCACTCGTATCACCACAATATTCTTCGGATCACATGTCAGTGTCTTCGCAGAACGAGACAGCGTCACTTAATTTGCATTCCCAGCCGCCAAAAAGACTTCGAATGCAGCAGTCAGGCCCTCAGGCAAGCGGCACAGCTTTCTTCTCAGGCCCGCAGGTGCAAGGCTCTTCGGGTTTCACTCTTGCGTCTGAAATCCCGAGTTTGGGATCGTCTGTACCTCCCAAGATGGGAGTTTCCCCAGGCACTCGAGAGGTGTCGGGATTCAGGTCCGCAGGCTCAGAGGCATCGAACTCCGGCGTGCAGCCGGACGGCGTTTTTGTCGCATCAGCGGGTGCACCATGCATTCATGATTTCGATTCTCTTGCAGCAGCACTGATCGCAGCAGTATGGCCGGAACGTGCGGCCCCAGACCGTGCAGCAGCCTCAACTGCTCGATCGGATTCAGGTTATTGGAATTTCGGAGTTCAGGTTAGCCATAGGAACACTTTATCTAGCGTCACAACAGCCTTGCCAGGACTCTGTAAAGAACTTAACCAATTTCTTCAGCAATGTTTTCCAGGTGAAACGTGGAACTCCTTGTGCGTCAGCAGGAACGTCTTAACAACCCCACACAGGGACTCGGCTAACTTGAAAAATTCCCTCAATCTTTCGGTGAGCGTCGGAAAATTTTCAGGAGGGCGTCTTTGGGTAGAGGACCCCGAGGGTTCAGTCGAACAATTCGTCCCTGCACTTGGCAAAACCCTCCTGGGGTCGTACACTTGCACTCGCCATGCCCCCAAAAAATTCCCCTGTAATCTATGGCATGGCACTGCACAGAGCCATGGCTGGGGGATAGATGGGTTCTCACCTGTTTTACCCTTCCTTCGGTTTCCCATTCAGGGCTCCCACAACTGGGTTTCCCCACTGTCACGCATTCGGGTTTAGCCCCACCGAAACCCGCACAGCCCGAACCCTCTGCCATGCAGGCGCATTCGACAGCAGTCACGCCTCCAGCATGCATCGAGCATCGACCGTCTCCAATCGCAGGTTCCCCAATCAACTGGGGTAAAGCCTCGCCTTTCGGATTTACCAATCATAGCTTGAAGGTAGTCCCGGACCCCCCTAAGCAAGTTCCTCGAGCCACCGCCATTCCCATTCCACAGCAGATGGGGTCAAGGATTTTCTTGGATCTTTGTTCGGGTCTAGAAAAGCCTCTGTCGCTAGCAGTCGCTGCTCTTAGCTTACCAGTGCTGTCCATTGACATTCTTTTGGACCCAACTATGGATATCTTGAACAACGACTTCTTTGAGCAACTTCTGTTTATCTGCGGTTCTGGTATAGTGGGGTATTGCGCCTCCTCTCCTTGCTGTTCGGAGTATAGCCGTTTGAAACTTCGGGGTGATAAACCATACCCCATCCGTACACCGCAATTTCTTGAAGGGCTTCCAGACATCCCCGCAGAAGCCCAATCCCGCGTTCAGGAAAGTCACGAGATGCTCTCTCGAGCGTGTCAGTGCGCAAAAGTCGTGCACGCTGCAGGGGGCCACTCCCATTTGGAGCAACCTTCAGGAGCTATGTCGTGGGAAGAACCGTGTATGCAAAGCTGGCTTCATGCAGGTTCTGTCGTGCTAGTTCTGTGTGCTGCATGTGCTTTTGGGGCAAACTGGCAGAAGACATGGCTTTTTGCCAGTAGCTTCAAGACACTCGGTCTCATGGGCCAAACTTGCTCGCACGGGCGAGATGCTCACCCGGTGATGCAAGGTCGCTCTGTCTCAGGCGTCTTTCGGAGCAGATCCACAGCCAAATATCCGCAACCCTTGGCGGAAACCTTCGCATTGCACATCAGACCCCTACTCTCGGGTGATTCGGGCGATCACACCATAGCCTCAGCCTCAGCACTGATTCCGGTGAAGGATATTCAAGCAGAGCCCTGGGTTCTCCATGATGGGGCAGGGCGTCACTCTTGTGGTGACTGGAGCAGCCCGTTGTGTTCCGACAAGCTTAAACCGCTTCGCACATACCTGCTCAGTTGTGTCGCTCGCCTGCAAGGGGACAAGCGTCTTCTTGCAAAAGCAGAATGGCCCAGCCCTGAACCATTATTTACACAGTCCGAGGTTTCTGAAGTTAGGCAGGGTTTTCTTGCGAGCTTGGGGTTGCAAAATAATGAACAAATGTGGCACATTCGAGAACACCAGCCCTTGGCTCTCCACGTCTTGGAGAAACTTTCGAGCATTTGCGGTGATCCAGACATCAGCTTGTTCCCAAGTTTACAGAACGGGGTCCCTACAGGCTACAACAACGATATCCCGCCTTCTCACTGCTTTTGGCCAAACCAAAAGTCTAACGTTGAAGATGTCCCGTTGTCGATCCACATGCAGAACTGGCGCTCGGCATCGGTCGAGCCCTCAGTCACACAAGCGCTCCTGGATGAAGAAATCAATCAGGGTTTTTGCTACAAGTTCCAAGGGTCGTTAGCCGAAGCCAAGGCCAAGTGGCCAGCACTTGCAATAGGAAAGCTTTCAGTCGTTCGCGCTCCAGGGCGTGCAGAGCGATTGGTACTTGACAATTCAGTCTGCGGCACGAACGCAAATTGTGATGTCCCAGAGACTCAACACATGCCGTCTGCCAGAGATGTTGTCAACGGCTATCCACTTCGCGAATGTAACGCTCGGCAATCAGCCATATCCTTGGACGTAAAATCAGCCCACAAAAGGGTTTTCGTCACACCAGCCGAGCATGGTTTGCTAGGGTTCTCATGGGATGATGCTTTGTACTTCTACCGCGTGGCACCTTTTGGTGCAGTCTTCGCCCAGCACTGGTGGGGCAGACTTGGATCGTGCATCCTTCGCATTTTGCATGTGCTTATCTTCATCAGCCACACGGGTCACTTATTTGTGGACGATTACCTGTTCTCGCAACTGGCAGCGATCATGCCAATGACAGGGGCTATGATTTGCCTGTTCTTTCAGGTCATTGGCCTTCCATTATCTTGGCGTAAACTTCAACTGCATAGTCGGGTCCAGTGGATAGGTTGGGACTTTGATTATACAGCGGGGGTAGTCTTGTTGCAGGAGCAAAAACGTCTCAAGTTGTTGGGGATGGTTCAGGATCTTCAGCGAAAACCAAAACTTTCCAAAAAGGATCTTGAACGTTTCGTTGGCCTGGCCCTTTGGGCTTGCCACCTGTTCCCTTCCATGAAAGCACTCCTTCATACATTTTATCACGACCTGTTCAGTCCAGCGGCGACGAACTACTCGATATCGCCAGAAGTATGGCACCAACTTCGAAACCACCTTACAGCGGATCTCAAATTCAAATCCACCCCGCCAGGTACCGCCATTCCGCTTCACTCTACACTGCTATCGGTGCGGCACCAAAAACTGCAAAGCCTTTCAGATCTTGCCAGTGTTCGCATCACAGACAGACGTATCTGGATGCGCATATCCAGCCAATGCAGCAACAAGCGCCGCCTGAGTGCGGAGTCAGTGCGCATTCTGGGGCTTTATGAGTTGTGGTTACTTCACATGAGCCCCATGGTCAGCATGCGACCGGCAGCAGTGTTTCCAGTGGAAGCACAAGCTGACGCCAGTGCCCAAGGTCAACGGGCTTGCATTGGTGGCATTGGTGGGTTCGTGTCACATCCTGCATTAGGCCAAAGGTGGTTTAGGGAAGAATTCACATATGAGGAGTTCCGCGAGCTTCAGATTCCAATTCAGCAAGATATGCAGCTTGACATTGCGTGCTATGAAGCACTCGCTCAAGGGGCGCTGATTATCGCATCTTCAACCTTGATACCTTGCTCCAGAATCAAGCTTCGGACGGTCTCAGACAACAGTGGTGCGGAGGCAGGTGTGAATGCATCCTTTACAACTTCACGCCCACTTGCATATTTCCTTGAACGCATCTCTCTGCTTGCAGCAGTGTATCGTACCACTTTGGATGTATCTCACATACCTGGGGAGAAAAATACCAAAGCAGATGCACTGTCAAGACCGGGTGAACACGACATTCCCCTAGACTGCCTCGACGTTGATCGCATCAGGCTTCGCCTGAGTGATCTTTGGCTGCCTCGACCGGCCATTTCCATTTCGCCCAGCGATGCTTCGCTGGCATGGACCGTGCGAGCCCCAGGAGTGCCGAACAACCTCACATAGTTTTGGGCTTCTTGAGAGCGAGGTTGCTGGGTAGTTGTTATTGGGCGAAATGTGCCACCCATCAACCTGGTTGTTTCGTTTGTTGTCTCACTCGACTCATGTGAGACAAATCGGCACTCCTGGAAAATACTACGTCTTTCAGTGCGAACGGACTGCGATGCCTTGTCAAGTTCTAAGGTGTCACTATAAGAGCTGTGAGCAAGACTGTGTAAAGTGCAAGAGAAGGGGGCACGCTACGCGTCCCTCGACTCTAAGGGGGCATGCTACGCATCCCTCATCTTTACCATTCTATGTGACCGCTAACGCAACGTTTGGCTCAAGTCAATGCCCATAGCTAAGTGCTATATGTGTCTTCTATCCTGAGCAATCAGAGCTATCCCGTTGCACAGACGAACCGCCGCCGGCAGTGAGTGCAAAAGGAACGGCCGCCGGTTCTGCCTGCATAGGATTGCACGTGTGGAAGTAAGTGGGAAAGACAGGGTCTAATCTGTGGAGAGTGCAAGCCAGCCACACCTATATTCATTACAGCTCTGGTGGGGAGAGCAGCAACCAAGTCAAGATCAATCCCCCACGCAGGTTATCAGCCGTACGCGGCTCTGCCTTTCTACAGCAACGACTACTTGATCTACTACGACCACAATGAACTCAGGATCAAGCCAAGATACGACAATGACTTTCGGTGCCGATGTGGCAGCGCCAGCCGTTGGTGAGTCAACAGCTGATGACACAGTGGTGCAATCCGTTGATAGCTCCACGGAAGATGACAAAGGTCAATCTTCTGCGCTTGCCATTGCAAAGGCAGTTCCCAAGGGGAAAGCAAAGAGTCTACCAAGAGCATCTACGCCTTCGCGTCCGACATCCACAGGTTCGAGGACGGGCAAGGCTTCAGAACGACGGGCCGAAGCGTCTGGTTTTCAGGCACCTCGGACTACGTCCAGGGCCAAGGACAAAGGAGTCAAGACCTTGGAAAAGAAGTCAAGGCCATCATCTTCGAGAAGCTCTTCAGCACGATCGAGGACCTCAGCCACTCGTGGGCGTGACAAGTCCATGACATGGAATCGGATGGTTACCAATCAACCACGCGATACTGACGATCTGGATATGACTCTGGATACGATTCCTGCACGTGGCGATGCGTCATCCGTGGCCACGCCTGCCATAGCCGATGGTCCGAATGCTTATCAGGAGCTGACGATTTCGCAACAGTTCGAAGCATCGAACCTTGCACAGCAGATGTACTATCGCAGTCAGGTGCAAGAGTACGAAGGAATCGTCCAGACCCTGATGGACAAGATCAAGGAGATGCAACAAGAAGATGAAGGATCTGGAATTCGCATTGAAGAATTGGAACGACAACGTGACCATGCATGCTTAGCCATGAGGCACATCAACAATGTCAATCAGGAGATGAAGCGAGACTATGAAACAGCTTTGTTTCGCATGGATGAACAGAACTCTGCTCAACAACGTCAGGCACACGCCGTTGCCGAGGAATTGGCTCAGCAGTTACATGTGTTTCGCACAGAAGCAGCCACCAACTTTGTGCAGTTGGAGGCAAGAGCGCAAGGCGATGGTGAGCTTATGGCACGTGAGTATGAGCGTCTGACTCATGAACTTCATGAACATGCCAGAGGCCGTTTTTGGGACGCTAAAAATCACAAACTAGTCCCATAAGGCTTTATAACCTTTTTGGTAGGTTTCGAAAGTTTTGAAGAAGTTTTTCGAAACCGCTTCATGTGTCATGAGATTCCACTTGAACTTTTACGAATCCTTGTTGTTCCGCGCATGCTCAAACATAGGGTGGGTGGGCGGGAACCTTCCGTGCAGCAAAGTTTGTACGGGGGGCAAAAGAGAGTTGTGTAGAACGCGGACTCCGGGCCAAGCTGTGTGAAACAGGTTTCAGGCCCGTGAACCCCTGGTGTACCGCCTCAGTGGCACATGGGCAGCTTCTCTCGTGATGGCAGAGAAGAGGACGTTTGATGCTGCATTCGAAGGGCATCTTGCTCATGTTGTGCACCAGAATTCTACGAGCAACTCAAAGCAGCCATGGGAGAGAAGCATTGTGAATGTGCCGAGTGTATTGCCGAAAGCTTTCTTGGGAAGGGGGCGTCTTGGGAATGTGCTTACTCATACGGCTGCTGCTCCTGTGAAAGCTCCGAGTGGCCCGTCGGCTATAAATCTGACTGCTACTGGAGGCAAGCTGCCACGGAAGGTTGGGCCTTCCTGGATTCAGAGACAATCGGATAACAGACATGCGGCTGTCGTGAAGTGGCTTCGGATTGCTAAAGAGGGTGGCGACTTCTTTGGGGTCTGTGCTAGAGTGGCGGAAGATGCTGAAGCTGGATTGCCAGCCTCACTGCAGGAGTCTCTAGGAGATGTTTTCTCACTCAAGGCGAGCAGTACGCTTCACAGCAGGGCTGGCCCGGTCCTGAGATACATGGCATTCTGCTGGCGCATCAGAGAGCAGCCTTTCCCTTTGTCCGAGCAGAAGATGTATCGCTTCGTCAAGGAATACTGCAGTGGGGCTGCGCCTACCTTTGCCTCCAGCTTTATGAGTTCCATTGGCTTCATGCAATATGTCTTGGAGGCGAAGGTCCCGGCCGATTGTGTTAGCAGCCGGCTGGCTGGCGCAGTTTCGAAGCTCTACTTGGAGAAGAGAAAGCTGCAACAGAAGCCGCCGCTGACGGCTTCACAGATTCGGGCTTTGGAGCGAATTGTGCTGGGACTTATACCTGAAGTCCGTGCGGATGTCGATAAATACGCGGCAGGGTGCTTTTTGTATTGTGTGTTTGCAAGAGCCCGCTATTCGGACATGCAGTGTTCTGGTGAGCTGGCGAAAGACATCGTGCAAGGTGAGCGCGGACCGCGTGGGTACCTTGAAGCGAGGGTCACCAGGAGTAAAACGAGTCACAACTTGGAGCGTAAGACCCGATATCTTGCTATGGTCAGTCCGATATGGGGCCTTGAGCAGGATTCTTGGGCGTTGGCTTGGATGGAGGTGGCTGGCAGGGCGGGGCCCGCATGGGGGCCTGACATGCCCCTGCTACCGTCCCCCACCGACGGTGGCCAATGGCAGAAGGCGCCTATGTCTGCGCAGGCTGGAGCGCGGTGGCTTCGCCACCTTCTCTATCGTGCAGGCGAGGATGTCGCATCGGTCAAGGCCGTGGGCACTCACTCCTGCAAAGCTACGCTTTTATCTTGGATGTCCAAGTGGGGAGCTAGTAAGGAGATCAGGTCGATACTCGGATATCATTCTAGTGCCAACGCCGGCACGGATGTGATCTACGCGAGGGACAGCGTTTCCCCTGCATTGCGTGAGCTGGAGGAAATGGTTTCTGCGGTCGCTTACAGGCGCTTCTTCCCGGACGCCACGCGCTCGGGCATGTTTGCGGAGTCTTTGGCTGCCAGGGGAGATGCTCATGACAAGGCCGAGGTCGGTTCAGATTCTTCTTCCGACAGGAGCGATGACGAGGAGGAGCCGGACACTCTCGAGGAGGAGAAGGTGGTTGAGGACAGTGTCGGCGATTTTGAGCCGAGCGGTTGCCTTCGAGAAAGCCTGGAGGGCAAGGCGGTTTTTCGGCATGTCACCACCCGCTTCATACACTTAGTCGCTTCTGAGGAGGGCACAACTTTTAAGTGTGGCAGGCAGATCACATCGTCTTACTTGGAGTGCAGTGCGATACCCAGGTTTTTGCATCCGATCTGCCGGCAGTGCTTTCCAGAGGCGAGGTGAGGGATCGTAGGCTGGCTGGCTGGAGTGCCGCCATGCGAATTTTTGTGAGCCTCTCATCGTGAGAGCCCGCGAAGGCGGGATGAATATGCGCACGGAATACAAGGAACGCTGTGCTCGGCATTGCAGTGGTCTCAAGAGCCCGGGGTCGCAAATGCCGCCTTGTGATTTCAAGTGAGGGTCGCTCGAGCTACTTTGAAGGTAGACCCGTGCTGAAGGAGTGAGCCATGGCTTCCGCATACTCAGAGTCCGAGCCGGTTCTGGTGTCGCGTCTCTCGAAGGCGGGGTTTGATCAGGCTGAGCGTGATCTCATCCTGAAGCACGTTAAGAGTTTGAAGCAGCTGGCCTTCGTGAGCTCTTTTGCTCCGGGGGCTGCGGACGAAGGTCCGTTGATCGAGGCCCTTAAGGCGATGCTTGGAAAGGACCCAGAGATGAGTCAGAAAGCAGCTTTGCTTCCATCATGCGTGCGTGAATGGGTTTTATTTCCCGCCGAAAGTGTAGACAAAGTTTTGTCGTAAAAGGAAAACAGTGTTTTCACTTGTGTGTTGTGAACACTAGACAAACTTTGCCGTGCAGCTTTCGGCTTGAAGTGGATCTGTGATCCAAAAGTTTTTATCTCTTGTGCTGGTGGGCTAGTAGTCCCTTTGATCTAAAGTGATCTTCTAGTAGAGTAGCGGCGGGCTAGTAGCCCCTTTGATCCAAAGTGATTTTCTGGTAGAGTAGCGGTGGGCTAATAGCCCCTTTGATCCAAAGTGATTTTCTGGTAGATTAGTGCTGGGCTAGTAGCCCCTCTGTCGGGCAGGTAGTTTCTGTAGTGCCATGGACGGTGCCGTAGCAGCGCTACTGGCAGGCAGGCAGCAGTGCTGCCCATGCCTTTCATCCGAAACTTCAGGGCAGTGCCCCGAAGCTTGGGACCCTCATGCGGTTTGCTCACTGTTTAGTAAGCGGTGTTGTGCTGCTCGGTGTCGCTCTGCAGCGGCACTGTTGGTGGTTCTGCAGTTCGGCTTCTGCAAGCAGCAGTGCTGCACGTAACCAGGCAGCAGTGCTGCCGATGCCTAGTATCATACGCCTTAGGTCAGTGCCCTGAGGCTTCAGGTTCATGTTTTTCGTTCTGCAGGCAGGCTGGCAGGCAGCAGCACTGCCTAAGCCTCGCATCCTCAACCTCGAGGCAGTGCCCCGGGGTTCGTGGCCTCCTTGCAGGCATCGGCTGTTCAGTTAACAGGGTGGTTCTGCAGTGCAGCTTCTGCATGCGGCCGTGCTGCGAGTAACCCGGTAGCAGTGCTGCCGAGGCCTAGTGTCAAAACTTCCGGTCAGTGCCCCGAGGCTACAGGTTTTGGTTTTCATGCTGCAGGCGGGAAGGCAGCAGCGCCGCCTACGCCTCGCATCCTAAACCCCAGGGCAGTGCCCCGCTGTAAACAGCGTCCTTGCAGCAGTGCTATTGGTGGTTCTGCAGTTCAGCTTCTGCATGCAGCAGTGCTGCAAGTAACCAGGCAGCAGTGCTGCCGATGCATAGCATTATAAACCTCGGGTCAGTGTCCCGAGGCTCCAGGTTCATGTTTTTGGTGCTGCAGGCCGGCAGGCAGCGGCACTGCCTACGCCTCGCATCCCAACGCCCAGGGCAGTGCCCCGAGGTCTGAAGCCCCCTTCCCGGCATCTGCTGCTTTGTGACAGTGTCCCTGCAGCCGCGTTGTTGGTGGTTCTGCAGTGCAGCTTATGCATGCAGCAGTGCTGCGAGGAGGCAGGCAGCAGTGATGCCGCTACCGTGCGTCCTTAGCCTCAGGTCAGTGCCCCGAGGCTTCAGGTTCATCCGTTTAGTACTGCAGGCACGCAGGCAGCAGCACTGCATACGCCTCGCGTCCTAAACCCCAGGGCAGTGCCCCGAGGTTTCCGCCTTGCAGGCATCTGCTGGTTAGACAATTGTGTCAACAGTATTGTGGCTGCCCATTGCCACTTCTGCGGCAGCGCCGTTGGAGGTTTTGCGTGCAGGTTCTGCACGAGAAAGTGCTGCGAGCAGGCAGGCAGCAGTGCGGCCGATGCCTGGCATCCTAGGCCTCACGTCTGCACCCCAAGGCTCCAGGTGGTCATGCATTCTTCTCTTGTTGGGTGCACCTGCTGGCTTGTGCCTGTGGCAGTGCTGCAAGCACGCACAAGCAGCGCCGCGTGTGCTTGGCCCCCCCAGTGGGGAGGAAGATGACACGCTAAGTTACAGTCGAGGCTTAAGCATGTCCTTGCCTGAGAAGGGCGCGTCAGAAAGAAAATGGAGGCCAGTGGCTACGCCTACCACAAGGATGGTAAAGACAATGGCACGGGTAGCTTTGTTCGCACCCTCAGCGAAGGGAGTAAACACAGGAAAACGCAGCCTCGGCCTGCCAGTGGGAAAGCGCAGGGCCAGCGGCTGCTGCAGCCTCCACGTACGTCGTCGGTCCCGGTGCAATGCCACCTCCTAGCATCACTGTCCGGCAGAGCCATGGACAACGCAGGGCGCACGTGCAACCGGAGTCCATACTGGCACTGTAGCCTTGCAGTACTGGGGTTAGTAACCCTTTGGCCAGCGGCATGCACCGAGGCGTCTTCGGCAGTGCCGTGTCGCTTTGCTTTTTGTTCGCAGCGCAGTCTGCCAGATATCCTCGAGCAGGCCTTGCGAGAGGTATGCAATGAAGAGGTAAGTTATCTCTTGTGGGTTGTGAGCAGTGCCACCCGCGTCGTTGCGGAGGACGTCAGTGACGATCACTCCGATTTCGCTGTTGAATGAGCTCTGGGAGGCCTCGGTGGGGTCTGTTTTCCGCCGTGTCTGACTCACAGTGCAGGCAGGTAGTTCCAAGCCTAAAGTGCTCGTAAATGGTGTGCCTTTTGGTGTGAGGACCCGCTGCGAGTCCCTAAGGGCCCCTGCGTGTCCCTAAGGGCCCCTGCCAGTTGCTAAGGGCCCCCTGCCCGCCTTTTCCTGTGGGCTCGCATTAGTAATGACGAGCTTCTGTGTTGCCTTAAGGCAGTGCCGTGCAGTGCGCGCACAAGGCCCCAGAGCCCGAGCCCTTAATGCAAAGTTTGCATTGGCACCTTGGCCAAAGCTTGGCGTCGCTGGTATCCATTCGCTTCGTGAGTGACGCCAGCACGGACTCGGCAGTGCCGCTTGTCCCTCGATTCCTCCAGTGTGCTCAAGTGGATGTTCGTGAGGATGTCAACATTAGGAGATAAGTTATCTCCTTTTCGCAGTCATAAATATGCTGGATGTCAGCTGGGGGGCAGTGTCCCGAGGCCTGAGGCCGCCCTACAGGCTTCTTAGTTTTCAGTAAACTGTGTTGTGAATGCTCCATGCTGTCAAGTTTTGGCGCGGACTGCTCCCGCAGGTCCTTCAGTGCAGCTTCGGCAGGCAGCAGTGCTGCCGATGCCTCACTTCCTAAACCCCGGGGCAGTGCCTCGAGGAGTAGGGCCCTCCGCTTGATTCTTGGTGGTTAGTGCACTGTCTGCCAATGCTTGGTGTGGGTCCAGGCTTTCGTGCGGAGTCCGCAATAAGCTCTGAACCTCTGCTCTTGTTTTCCCCCAAGGCAGCCGTGCGTGTAGCAGTGCTACAGGCATGCAGGCGGCAGTTTTGCCTGCGCATCCTACACCTCAGGGCAGTGCATCGAGGCTTGCACTCCTTCGCCTGCTTCTTGCTGTTTAGTAAACAGTTTGTCAATGCTTGGTGTCCGTCAGGGTCTTGTTGTTAACTCCGCGCTAGGCCCTGCGACCGTTGCTGTTGCAGGGTCGGCCCCCAAAGCATGTTGTTCGCAGCGCAGTGCTGCAGGCACGCATGCAGCGGTGCTGCTAATGCCTCGCCTCATACGCCTGAAAAAAGTGCCCTGAGGTTTGAGGCCTTCAGACTTTCGAGTGTAGCGTGGTTTGTAGCCGTGTTACGTGTCAGCATGCAGCAGCGCTGCTAATGTCTGGCATACTTATCCTCAGGGCAGTGCCTTGCCCAAGCAGGAAGTGTTTTTGCATGCTTCCTACTGTTTGGTCCACAATGCTGCGACGCTTCGTCCCGGTTGGGATTTTGGTGCGAAGTTCGCGCAAAGCCCTGTGGATGTAGCAGTGCTACAGGCAAACAGGTCGCAGTGCCGCCGTTGCCTCTATCCTAAACCTCAGGGCAGTGCCTCGAGGCTTGGAATGTTCACGTGGCTCCCTGCTGTTTCGTGAGCAGTGTGACAACGATGTTGCCGGCCGTGGTTTTGGCGCGGCGTTCGGTTTGGTAAACAGTTATGGCAATGCTTCGTCCCGGTCGGGATTTTGGTGCGAAGTTCGCGCCAACCCTGCGTATGCAGCCGTGCTGCAGGCCAGCAGCAAACAGGCATGTGATGTGGTTTCTTTTCGTTTCGCAAATAGTGTGGCATCGTTTGTTTTGGTGCGGCGTTCGCGTCGAGCACCGCGGTCGCTGCTGTCCTACAACGCAGCGTAAACGTACGGCCGCGCTAATGCCAAGCATGCAGCAGTGCCGCTGATGCCTCGCATGTCAAACCTCAGGGCAGCGCCCCGAGGAGTGCAGGCGGAGCGTGCGGTCCTCATGCACGTTCCTTCCCGTTTAGTAAACAAACGGCCAGGTTTAGTGCAGGTCGCGTGCCTCATGGCTTGAGATCTTCATGCATGCTGCTCACTGTTGAGTAAGCAGTGATGGCGGTGCCTGTTGCCCGTCAAGATCTTGGTGCGGAGTCCGGCTGTTGCTGTTGCGGGGCTTCCAGTTTTGTGCAGCAGGGCTGTCGACAAGCAGGCAGCAGTGCTGCCGTTTCTTCGCATCCTAAACCTCAGGGCAGCGCCCTGAGGCCTGCGACCTTCATGCGGGCTCCGTACTGTTTAGCAAACAGTTAGGCCACGCTTGACGTCGGTCATGGGTCTTTGTGTGGAGTACGCGCCAGGCCCTGCTGCCGCTGCGGCACACCCCAGCAGTTTCGAGCAGTGCTCAACCTGCTAGGGAAGCGATGCAGTGGTCATGCAGCCATTTTTAAGGGCAGTGCCCACAAAGCACTCTCGGGTCG